TGTATTTTTGTACGCATCATGTGTCAAGAAAGTAGTCCGTTAGACTCCTCACTTTGTCAAAAAAAAAAAAAAAACGACTCCTCACTTTGTCTCCTCCTCCACGGTCCACCTATAGTTCGTTCAACTTCGTTGTCCTTTTGAGGGGCAATCTCAGAATTATCCATTGTATATTGAAATTCATTCAATAAATATTAATTAATAATTAGGTTAGGACTTTCCCGCATATAGTGAAGTAATAAGGTCAGAGATTACTCGTCTGACACGGCAATGAGTTTACCACAGTGACTTTCATCGGCGAACAACCGAACCCTTGGAACCTCGACCTTCCACCATTACTGATGGGGTACGACTATGCCTTCACCATTTATTTATTTATTTATTTATTTTTTGGTGCGGAGTTCTTCATCCGCTAATTACAAATTTCTAGACATTTATCTCTCTCTGAGATGTACGTACCTTCACCATATTCACTACAGTCAGCTGTAAGAACTTAGGTACGAGCCGTATGAATGCTGTGTGCAAGACAGACAAAGGGTCAGAAACATCATTCTCATCACAACAGATAGAACCAGAAGGATCGATTTTTGGTTTTCTTGCAACCTTTTTTTAAGTTTTTTAGCACTTTTATTGTTCGTTGTGGACACCTGGTGTGTGTGGGGCCCTTCCCATAACAATCGCAACAACGGGGAGTGCTTCGCCGGAATGCGGCCAGCAGCTGGGAAGCCTGGGATTGGACATAAGTTTTTGGCACAGCAAGAAGCAGCAGGCAGGATGAGGTAGCAAAAGGATGTGTGTCTAAGTGCATACTCACCACTAGGAGTTTCATGACCGAATGCGGATAGAAATGAGGTCAGATTCACTCAGAAAAGTGCCAGTGTCAGTATGCCACAAGAGATAGGAGACTGAAACCAGCACTCTCCTGACGGAATGCGGACAGAAACGCGGTCAGATTCATTCAACAAAGTTCTAGTGTGAGTATGCTGTACGAGTCGGGAGACTGAACAAGGGTGGGGTGCAATGAATGAACAACAAGGGACGTACCTTCCGTTTCTCATTGACTTGCATCAAAACCAATCCGTCCCCGGCAATCACCTTGTGCACCTCGTCCATATTCATCAGACTCTGCATAAAACATGCAAGGGACCCCAATATAACAACGCACAACATTAATATATTATTATTTACAAAAACTTGAAAAACATACAATGTTATTATTTACAAAAACATACAATAGTATTATTTACAAAAACATACAATTGTATTATTTACAAAAACATACAATATCATTATTTACAAAAGTTCTAAAACTTCAAAACTTCACAGTTCAAAACTTGGAAAGTGAAAATCACATAATATTGACAACAGTAAAAAAAAAGGAGTGTCAATTTTAAAACTACTAAAGAGGACAATTTTAGGAGAAGGGTGACCAGTCTGACGACAATCTCACCTCTTCCATTTTTTTAAATAAAAATCTTTGAATATAGTAAAACATAATCAATTAAAGAGTTAAAAAAAAAAAAAAGCTTTGCTCCAAAAAAAAAAAAAAAAAAMAAAACTTTTTAATAGTTTTTATTCATTTCTTATTTCAACCCAAAAAATGAAAGAAGTCCCCACAAGGGCCACAACAAAGTTGGGTGTCCTAGACCCTCTATGATGGTAAATTACTAAATTGGTAATAAATCTTGTCGTTAAAACTTAAAACTGAAAACTGAAAAGTTCCGTTGTACCACCAGTAAAAAAATCACACGAGCCTAAGTTGACGAAGCTACCTTCCAAGGCTCACGAGCCTGCAAGTGCACATTTTCAAAGTGGCCTGCAGCTTCTTCTTCTTCTTCTTCTTCTTCTTTTTTTTTTTTTTTTTCAAGTCTTGTCTTTATTGGAAATACAAGCCGTGAACCGGGCGGCCTGCAGCTTTCACTACTGGCACAGGCCCGAATTGAAATGCTCTTACCGTGTATCCCCGTAAGAGTACTACTCCGGTTTGTGTCCACTGGTGGTTTTAACTTTAAAGTTTAAACCGAAGAACGTAACAAGCCCGAATCATAAGGGCACACAAAGCCACTCTGCAAGCTCATGAAAAAGTTTTTCCATTAAACTGAAGCCTGCATTATCGTGGCCGTCGGGTCACAATGAAGCGGACCCAAACAAAGCCGCGCCGTTCCAACTCTTACGATCGTGGCGGTTAGCAGGTCGCAATAAAGCGGGTACCCACAATCACCGCGGGTCTGGTCCTTGGTCTCTACAGCACCCTGGGCTTTTTAAAAGAAAGGGAAAAAAAAAAAGAAAAAAAGAAAGTGGGTACCCACAGAAGTTGACATGCATACTAAAGCACGATCTTGTCATTCACGTCAGAGCCACTGAAAGGCCTACCACGATTCAGACCCCAAATTCGGATCTCAGGGTCCGAGGCCTGGACAAGAAAGGCCGAGTTCGTCAAATTCCGAAAAGTCACAGTCGGGTACCTAAGCAGTTCAGTCCAACAGGCACCCAGCAAACAGTCACATCTTAGGGGCAAGAGTCATGTCTCATATTGAAAAGTCATATTGAAGAGTCACATCTTACGAGTAAAAGGGTAGTCCCACAGGCAAGAGTTGTGTCCCAGAGACAGGAGTCACATCCACATCCCACAGCCAAAACTCATGTTCACAAGTGAAAAGTCGTGACCCAAAGGCTCCAGCAGCAGCAGACCTATGGAAATTCGGGAAGGTTCCAGGCCTTGACATTCAGAAGCAGACAGGCCGTGGGGATGTGGTACCGGAACCAGTCAGGCCCTAAGAAGCAGAGGCTGGCACGAGTTGAAATGCAATCCAAGACTACAAAAGGACTGGCCAGCCTCCCATTCAGTCAGATTGCTAGTTCGCAAGAAGTGTAGAAGTGCTGGTGCACTTGTGAGCTGTAGTGAGGGGCTGAACCGATGCTGAAGCGGTATATGGGGATACCCCAGGGAGACAGGCTGAACCGATGCTCGAGCGGTATATGGGGATACCCCAGTCACCGGTGGGACAAAAGGAGGAGGATGTACACCGGCCCAGACACCAGGCCCGGAGAGTGATGGTGCCGCCTGCGCTCGCCCGACCAACACGGCCAGACTCTGCTGGATGTCTTGTAAGATCGCCGTCTGTTGATCTTGCATCTCTACTACTCCTAGCAAGACCGACCTCAGGGTCCTCACTTCCTCATCCAACTCCGCTGGGTCCATCTCCTCTAACTCACTAATGTCCGCTTGTTGCCGCTGCAACCTGGCTCTTCTTCTAATCATTCTTTCTTTTTCTGCCTTAATCTCTCCTAAAGCCTGCTGTAGCTGTGCCTCGCGATCAGCAGCTCGCTGCATGGCGACCTCCTCGGGAGTCATCACTAACGGCTGGCTTGCCATTAAGCCCGTTGACTGACTCTGGGTCTTTGCGACTGTTGACCCTACGGATCCTGAACTGCAAGCCTGGGAACTCTGCTGCGCAGAAGTTGCCATGACTGTTGAAGCTGCGGCTTCGCTTACGAACGCCCTGCTGGCCTCTGTTGCCATAGCTCTCCTCTGCTGCTGCTGCCTCTCCCTAAGCTGGCGGAACAGTAACCTGTCACCCTCTGGTCCTAAGGCCAAGTGGGCTACCGAGCGTCTAGCTGATCTCAAGATCCTGTCGTCCGGTTGTGGGACCTCCCTGTCACTCATATGCTACAGCACTATACACAGTCTGCACTAGGACAATCTAGATGCCTACCGCAGCATAGTGCACAGACCAACTATTTAATTGGTGGCTATGTCAGAGACTATACATTCGGGTCCAACAGGTAAGTTCAGATTCCTACAAATGAAAACTATTTTACTTTGACTAGTCAGCAAACAGAAGCACAAGGAACATAAAACAGTTCTAACTAATGCTATTCGTCAGATGTTAATGGCTGTACATCTAACTAATCAAAATAAAAATAGAATCGTTTGTTGGGTCTGTTTGCAGAATGGGATCTTGTCCGAACTTATCACCTGGCATCTACCCCTCCCTCAATTATTCTTGAATGTCTCTTGTCGTCAACGTCCCTGAGCGATCCAGATAGCGTGTGTGTCTAAAGGTGTGCACACGGTCCACCCCTGTGCCCCGAGTCCTGCTGAGTTGGCCAGCCCTGCACAGTATTTATCCTCGCGTGCAGCGAGCCTTACACCGACCAATTGGCTGATCAGGAGGCGTTTTTATGGACGGCCCCCGAAGTCCTCAGGAAATCTTTAACGTCGCAAACAGGACGACGATCACAGCCAATGGAAGGTATCCCCGTCGGTGCTTATTTATAGACATCCGGTCTCGCCTGTCCCCTAGGGCTGGCCTGCCCTTCAGAACCCCCCCTCTACAGTGCAGCGAGCAGACAAAGGACAAAGCAGCAAAGCATGCGTGCTCTACTCCTGGTGGGTTGGCATGGTGACCGTGACCCAGTGCTTCGTCCAGGGCCCTTCAGATAGCACCGCCCTCTCCTTCCAGATGCTCCACGTGAAGGCTGACGACTCTCAAGGTTGAGCTCACACGACTCCTCACATGAGAGGACTCTCAAGACAGAATTTACATCCTCACGGTAAGAACTGTCGAAGAGGGTAGATAAGGTTAGGTGCAACGTACCTCAAAATAGCTGCCCCCAACCACAGATATTCTCACCAGATGACCCGATGTTCATTGTGATGACCAATCGCTGCTTTGGCACAACCAGCATTGCACAGCCGTTCCACCTCAGTACCAATCACACACCGGATAGTTCTCATCACACTGCGAACACCCAATAATCACCACACAACCTTCCTGGAGAACCCCTCTCCACCTGGGTCGCCTACTTATCTTCGCCCTCCTCACTACACACGTCCCACGGCACGGTCGCTCACCGTACACACCGCGTGCATGTACCGCATTAGGCAGAAGATAAGCGCCAGATTAGCGCATCGAACCATAGCTCCGATACCAAATTGCAAGGAAGATGAGCAATAGCGAACTTCAGCAATCAAACAGCATCATACACATGAGACCAGATAGTCGTGACCTCGAACCAAAAGCAGAATTGCATCACGAGTTTCACCAAATAAGATTACACCAAAAGTTCATAATTGACAATGCTGGAATGGTCTCATCATCATCAACGAAGACGAAGAACCATTGATGATATCCTATCTGGCGCTCGGCGCCCAGACTACGAATGGCAGATCCTATCTAGCCTAGACTACAATGCCGCTGATGACGTCAACAGCTTCCCAAGTACGAGCAGACCTTGGCCAATGCCGCACGCGTCAAGCACCAGGTATGTCTCTCGTATCACTCACAACCTCGTTCCCCAACTCACAGATGCCACTTGCACCCAAGGACCACCATGCCCCCCTTCCATCATACAGCAGCGCACCTCGGCTATGGCTGTCTGCTCCTTCCAGCTCGCCCGTGAGCACGTGAGCCTGGCAGGCGATAGCGCAGCAGCGCTTGCGCACAAAGCAGCCAGTGCCCGAATGTCCAATGCGTAGGCAGGCCCTTCCCTATATCGAAGTGGCCTGCTGCTGCGTGCTGTGCTGCGGTACTGGGCCCCGCCCCAGAAGCTTCCGGTAGGCCCAGGGAGGCTGAGCCTCAATCCGCAGTCAACAGGCCCAGGGCCTGCGGTGGTTACCAGCACCCAACTGCCCTCAGCCTTTGTTCGGTCCACTTTGTGTATCCGGCCCAGGGCCTGCCTCAGTTACATGCAATGCAAGGCAGCCTGGGCCTGGGCGCTCCCTACCAACTGGCGCTGCACAACTGCCTGAAATTTCCCCAGTTGCGTAGTGACCCCAAAAATGGCCTGAGGGCCTCGCTCGTGCCTGCCTTCACTTAGGGCGGCCGACAGAGCGAAAAATAGGCCCTGTAAAGCAAATCGAGGGCCTCTGCCTCGCAGTTTTGTTTTGTTTTTTTGTTTTTTTTTGGGGGGGGGGAGGAACAATTGCTTGGATCTATCTGTGGGGAGCCGCGCGAGGTGGAAACCAGGCCCAGCGTCCCTTGAGAATTATGAAAGTACAATGTAATGGAAGCATTTGAAGACCTTTTCTCTGCGATCGTTGATTACCCTGAATGACAGGGGATTGACTGAGCAGGGTTTGGCGACAGGCCAGCAGCTGGAAACCGGGTCCAGCGTCCCTTCTTCGCTGGCAAAGGATTGTACCACTGGGGGGCACCAGCGGGCACCATCCATCCCTCACCCTGAGACCTGTCATTACTCTTTCTTCTACGCTGCCTACCCTTTGTAGCCCCCTGCTGGGAACCAATACTAGCATCCTTTATGTATCACAGGCATTGCAGTAGCTGCTGGCTGGTGTGCCTGGAATGCCTCTTGCTCCACCTCCACAAGTGATTGCGGGTGGGTGGGGGGAAGGATCCGGGAAGTCCATCACAATGACATGCATAAGTCAATAAATGCCCCCCCCCCCCCCCCCCCCCCCCCCCCCCCCCC